TTAATAATCATTTTATTAATAAAAATCTATATTCATTCAATAAACATTTAATTAATTTATTTACTAATTTGATTTATTGATCAATCCAGATAATGTATATAATTTTTATAGATTGGATAAATTATTATTTGAGGATTTATAGGAGTAATTTCTACTTAAACTTTAAAGTGATGAAGAAGTAATATATACATTCTCTAGGTTGTTAAAAGAAGAAGCTAACTAAGATAAATTTCTAGCATTACATATTTTGAATGAAGTATTGTAAAAAGAATAGAATATAATAGAAAAAGAAAAACTTATTCATTTTGCATTAAAACAAATTCCCTTTCTAATGATATATTTAGAAGAAAATGATAATGAATATGCATTGCATTGCATAAGAAAAGTTCAATTAACTTTGTCAATATTTGAATAAATTTAAAAAATGGATGTAGGACAATTAGGAAATATGTTCTCAAATGAATGTTGTTAATCGTTTAATAAATTCATCTCAAGAGCATTCAATCAGGTTGATAGATTATTAAGTTTAGAGCAACATTCAAAATAAGTTACCAAAACAGATTAAAAAGGGTTTTTTATTAGTAGAGTTGATATTTAAAATGAAAGAAATTATTTACTTGGATAGTTTTTTAAAATTATCATTTCAATATTAAGATTTATTGGAAAATTAATCTAAGATATTGATAGAAGTAGCCAGTTTTGTGATTCAAATAATTAATAGGCTTTAATAGAGGAGGTTCTATATTTTACATCAAATTATTACAATTATATTAATAGATCATAATTAACACACATTTGTACAGAAATGGACATACTTACATTATATTCAGAATGTCTAAAATGTTTGAATAACTTTTGCGAAGGAAATCCATAAAATTAATACCTTGTTTTTAGTCATAAGCCATTGATTTCAATCATCTAATTTATAATAACAACTTAGAAATACGATATTCTAGCAGATAACTTATAGGATAATACTTTTAGAGTATTATTTAAAGCAACTATTTAATTACTTTTGTAAGTAAAATTAGAAGTTCATTAAAATTATACAGACTTGAATTTTTAAATGTTATTTGAGAAATTATTAAAAATATATGAATAATTTGCTCCAAGACTTCAGATAATTATGTAAGGATAAAAATGTAATCATGTAGATAATATTAATTGTACTTATTTAAAATGTTAGCAAAACTTTATTGCTATTGGAGAAATTGAGGTCTTAAGTATTTGTTTTGATTTAATTATTTTATTTAACATATTGAGTGAGAACATTGAGAATATAGGAAATTTTGATAAAAAGAAAGATTATTGGTAGACATTAAGGGATAGAGTGATTGGCGAATAACCAAATGAATTGTCCTTAAATTAAAAACAAAATATAAATTTTCTAAGAATTTACATTAGTATGAAGCATTTTGTAAAATAATAAGAATTCAATTAAAAAAGAGTTGAATTGTTAAAAGAATATTTGAATTCAAATGATTCTATAATTGCTTCTTTAGATATAAAAGACCTAAAATCATAACAAAAAATTAATGTGAAAAAGAAATCAACTCCTCTTAAGAGTCCACCTCTAGTGAATAAATAATATACACAATTGGGAGATAATTAAAGTCCTAAAAGCAAGTTTAAAGAAAGCATTTATAAAATAACAAATAAAAAGCAATTTGTTAAATAATCCTTAGATGAAGCAATTCCATTTAAAAAGTTTGATGAATAAGATCCGGTTATTGAAAATACAGATAAAAGGGAAAGTAAAATGGAATAGAAATTAGAAGTAATAGCAATAAATTGGTTAGAAGGTGCTCAATATAATAATCAAAGAGACAATATTAAGAAAAATATGTGTATGAAGATGGCTGAGGCAATTAATTTTTTTAGTAAATATGTAGGTTAAATATAAATAAGTTAACATAATGAGAATAAGTAATTATATTTCATTCTACCTTTTTAATCATTCTTTTTATTATAATAAACTACTAAAAAGGCTAAGATGTTAAGAATGAAAAGAGGTAGGTATGAATAATTGAAAACAATGTCTGAATATTTTTAAAAAGAAGTAGCATTTCGTTAGAATATCTCAAAGTATCCAAAATTCAATTGGTTTTCTATCAATATTCATTTATTAAAAATATTAAATTATTTGATTGTGCTTACTTTAAATTTATGTTATTTAGGAGATTTACAACGTAAGGTAGACAGTTTCTTTTTTAAGAGTTAAACAATTGAAATAATTGTTATTGTATTAACAATAATTTTGATATTATCATCTGCTTTTGTACTAATTATTGAAATTATTAATCAATAACCATATATAGCATTTCGAGTTGATTATTATAGAGATTAAAATTAAGAAGATGTACCTTTAGGGTTAAAAGGGACTGAAAATCTAAATTAGATTTATCCTGATCCTTAAAAATAAAAGAAAACAAATTTGAAGAGAAAAATGAAAATGCATTAATACTTAAATTAAAATAGAACTTTAGCTTAAATAACAAATGTTACATTCCTATATCATTTAACTTATTTGATATTAGCAGCTTTATCATTTATAGCTTCACCATTCATTTCATTACTGTTATTTGATATAGTTTCAAGAGTGAATGTATTTGATTTTATTTATTATTATAGAGTTTAAGAAAAGTATTATCATCAGTACTTGTTAATTTTTGGAAGATTATATTAATATTATATCTTACTTTGATTGTGATTCATTGTTATTCATTTTTAGCATTTGTTGTTGAAGATGCTGAAGTTTTTCATGAAGAAGATACTGCAAAATTTACATTCATTAAAAAATTTTGGTAGTTCTTTGGAAATGGCTTTAGATTATAAAATTCCTTTAATTCAGAAGATGAATCTCTTGATTGGGGTAATTATATATTTGTTGTAACATTATTCATGTTGATATTTATATTATGTTTTGCCTTAATCATTAGTATCATAAGTGGATAATATTCTCATAGCAATTCATTATCTAAAAATTAAAAGAATAAATCTTGTAAAATTTGTAATATATCATATGATTAATGTAGAGAAAAGTAAATATAAATATTTAATTTTAGAAATATTAGTTGGTAAGAACATATTGAAAAAGAACATAAATTATCATCTTATTTGTTTTTCTTGATTTGTTTACAATAGAAGAGAGAATTAAATTATTTAGAAAGAGAAATTGCTAAAAAAATTCAATAGAAAGATATGTCTTGGTTACCAAAAAATTGATTAATTAACAATATTTATTAGAATGAATATAATTTGATGATTATTTTATAAAATTATATAAAAGCGGCAATATGAAATTTATAATTGTTGATTAGCTATCATGTTTGGCTCACATAAAACATACTACATAACCAACTCATTTCTGGTTAAAATTATCCATATTTGTTATGTATATGTAATATATTGCAATGTTATTACCAATGAATGGTTGGAATTTATGGAATTATAATGATGGTCATTTCAAATTATTTTAAATGATAGCTCAATCTTAATTAATGATACCTATTTTTGCAGACTCATAAATTGATTTCCGAATGACTGCATTTATAATTACTTTTATATTACTTATTGTCATTATAGTAATCATTTTCACTTTACTACTATTTGGAATATATGAAAATAGAAACATTATTGAACATTAATCAATAAGAAAATTCATTTTTTATTTCTTACAAATTACAGGAACAGTATTTTAATTACCTATTTTATTTTTATTAGTATCATAAATTTTAAATGGTCCTGGAACTCTTAATTTTTAAAATACAATTCTTGGAATACAAAGTATTATCAATTTTTTTACTTTGATTTTGTTCACTATAATTATATTTTTTTCCTAATATTTTTTAAGAGCATACACTTTTATTCCTAGCAATTACATATAATCAAAGTTTAATGGTTTTTAACCATTACATTATATCATGCAAATAATTATGGCTATATTTTATTTTGTTGACAATTAAGATACTGTTTAATATGCATAAATTGCAATAATACATCTCTCTTTAACATTTAAAATAATTGAAAGTTTAATCTTTAAACCTTATTTACCATTTATGAATGAAACTCATTTCAAATTAGGATTGATTGCTGAGTTTATTAATATCATAATTAGTATTTGTGTATTTACAGAAGGTAAATTAATTACTTAAGATGACATATTATATCTACTTTTATTTGCAGCATCATTTTCATATTATTTAGGAGAAGTATTTTATGAGAGGAAATCAATATAAGCTTATGATGTAGATATCAATTGTTTTTCCTGTATATCTGTAGCACAAGAACTTTACTTATAATGTGTTGCAATGAATAAATTAATCTATTAATAGCAATTCTTTTAATTGTATTTCTATCACAAAGCTCACAAATTGAATTGCTCTAGAAATTGGAATAAAAAACACAGAAAAAATGATAATCATATCTAATTAACAAATCAGACAATTTATTGTATGTTATAGACTGAACTCGATAAAGCAAAAAGCGATACAAAAATTATGTATGAAGAACTTGAGTTATTCTTCATTAATTATGTAGCTGAATACATTAATAGACCATTGTTGGCATATGTAGAATTAAAGAAGTATGAAATTCTCACAAACCAACAGTCATACTTTTTCATTATAATTAAATATCAAATGAGTTAATTTCTTTAATAATTAGTTAGAAAATAGTAGAATCTAATTAAATTAAATAGTATTTAGTAATAATAATAATAATAAGAAAAATAATTAAGTATTACATCTATTCATGAAACTTTAAGATTCTAAGAAACATTTATACCAAAAGTAAAGGAGATAATTTTAGAGAAAATTAGTTTTTGGACTAATTAGATAAAAGGATTTAATAGTATATATGATATTGAGAGAATGGCAATATCTTAAAGTTCAAATATTTAAATCTTACATGAAGAACTCAAAAGATTTTGTAAATTTGATTTTCATAATTTGGATAAGTTATCTTAAATTTATAATGTATAAACTATAAAGTTCATATCTATGTTTTTCAGTGCAGTAATGAATGATTATTATAGTACTTAAATTTGTGAACAAGTAATAGCTGAAATATTTAACATTGAACATACATAATCAGACGATTTAATAACAAATATTTTATTGATAGAAGAGAGAGCAGCATTAATATAAATTAGTATGGTTAGAAATAGAGGTAAAATAATTAATTCAGATAAAAGGTTATTGGCAAAATATTTTGACTTTGATGAATAGGAATTTTAATAAATAGATACTATTAGTGCTTTGATGCCATATTTTTTTGCAGAAAAACATGACAGATTACTTTAGGATTATTTGTAATCAGCAAAATCTATTTTTTTTGATGATTATAAATTAGTATTTGGAATATCAAGAGAAGGATTTTTAGTACCTTAATAATTAAAAATTGATAATGATTTCTCTCTTTTAGATGATTATATTTTAATGGGATGTATGTCTAAAGTAAAACATTCATCAGATTTTGTTTTATTTGGAGAAGATGGTTATCTAATTGGTTGTACTTAAAATTTTTATGAAATGTTTTTTACATTTTAACAATCAATAAATAGATTTACTTCTGATATGATATGTCAAATTAGCATTTGCATGTTGTTTCCAAATATATTTGATTTGCTCATTGATTTAAGAAATAAACTAAAGAGTGACTTATAATATGGATCACCTGATAATTATTGTAAAATTTGGAAATTCTTTAATATAAAAGATATCTTAGAAGATGGATTTAAATTATAATAATCATTAAAACAGTTTTCAACTCAAAATTATGAAAAATCTTAAAGTATTTAAAAATCAAGGACAAGTTAAGCATCATTAGATTTAAATAAAACAAGAATCCTCTAATAATAAATAATTGATAATTATGAAGTTCAGAATTCATTGAAAACTATTTAATATCTATATTAATTACCATTATTTAATGTTGTTGTTTAAAGTTAAATGGCTGATAATATAAGAAGATTTGAAGTAATTAATTATAATATATACTTAGGAAAAGTAAAAATAGTGTTTTATTAGTAAAGTGCAATTGTAATTTAGAATAATGGGAAAGAAAGACTAAAGAAAAGGCTATTTTATTTTAGAAATCTTAGATATTAGAAGAACTGATGATAATAAAACAAATGAATCAATTGCAAATAATTAATACTCAAATAATGCTGTTTCTACAAATTATCATTAATAAAGTAATATGTATATTAAAGATATTAGCTAATATGGAAAATAGTTAATCATAAATTCAACCTAGTGAAAATGGATTAGAAGCACCATCAGTAGCTGTGGAGGAAATACGTCCAGATGTTACAAAAATAAATGAAGTTTCATTATTAATCAAAAAGTATGGAAATAGATTGCCAGAATTATCAAATTATGAAGGTTAATTGATTGCTATAGAATCTGCAAGAGATAGTATGAGTTATGCACCTATTTCTCAAAGAATTTAATTCATCAGTCCTTCTTCTAAGTAATAGTAATTACAAGGATTAATTGAAAAGGATTTTACGGATTTATAAAACCAACTTGAATATGGAAATGGAGATATCATAAATGATATTGATGTACCAGAATCATCATAAGTTAAAGGAATAAGTAGTAATAATAAGAAGGAGAATAGTCATAATCTTTTATAATAATTATAAGAAAATCAATTATAATAAAAGAAGAATGATTTTGAAGTGAGTGCAAAGAAATCAAGATCAAGTAATACTTCTGGTACATCTGGAATATCTGCAATACAAGTTATAAAGAAATTTCAATCAAAGAGGGATTTAACTTAAAGTTTATAAGCATTATTAGCAATTAATATTTTGATAGTATTGATAATTGCTATATATATAATTATTCATCTAACAAATGTTAGTGCATACCATGATGAATTATTATAGACTCTTATTAATATTCAAGCACCTTTATTATTTAATAGATATTTCTTTAAGACTTTTTGTTATATATGGAGTCTAGTGTTCAATTCATTAAGTATTATAGACAGCAGTGATTATATAATTACTTAAACTTTATAAGAGATTGAAGTACTTGCAGACACAATGCTTGGCAGTTTAAGAAATATGTATGATACATTTATTGGAATTGAGTTTTAGGGAATGTTAAGTAAAATTAATTTAGATTTTTTATATTAAGAAAATGAAGAAGTAACTTATACATATTTTATAAATTTTATATCAAATATTGCTGATTTATTGTTTTAGGCATAATATCATACTGTTTAGAATTTAGATGAATTGATTGATTAAAACTATCTAGATAATCTATTGACATTAAGATACAATTTAAAGAATGTTAATTATATGAATGTTGAATTATTGGATTCATTAAATATATTATTCTTTGATTTGTAATAATCAAAATTAACAGAATTCTAATTATAAATAAGCATAGAAATAATAATATTATGTTTAATTATGTTTGGTTAAATTTATTATTGGAATCAACTGGAAAAATATTGTCAAACAATAATTCTTTTAGCTGGAAGGTTGTAGGAGAATTAAGCTTAAGAGTAAATTATTAGATTTTCTTATGTAAATGAAACTTTATCAACATTTTTAGGAAAGTAAAGTTGGAAATAATAAAATTATTATAAGTTATTATATTCATCATTAAATTAATTAGGTTTAGAATCTGTTTATACTTAATCTAGAATATTGAAGGATTATCAATTATAATTGATTAATAAAAATCCTTAGAGGTCAGATGTAAATAATGAAGAAGGATAGAAAAAAATTAGAAAGAATTAGAATGTTGTATTAAATTCAAGGATTGCTAATTCTGGAATATCTATTATAAAAGAGGTATTTATTATAACAATATCATTCATAATTATTCTTGGATTTATAATTGGAGGTTATTTCTTATATAATTCTTAAGCAAGTAATTTATATCCTACTTAATAATTGACATTAAGTTTTATTAGATTTACTTCATAATAAGACATCACTATAAGTTGTGCATTAGTAATCAAATCATAATAAGTGTTATTTTAAAAATTAATAGAAGATAAATATTATACAGATATATAAATTCAGAATTTTTAAGGAGCTGGAGAAATTATGAATATATTTTTGGATTATTATGATTCATATTTTGAAAATTTAACAGCTATCTATGAATTCATTTTAGAATCAAATAGAATAAATGGAGATGATGAAGCTGTTCTATTTAATTTGTATTCTGAAGACTTTTGTTTATTATTAGCTGATCTTATTCCTTTTTGTGAAGTAGATGCTAATTTCAATTCTAAATATGGGTCACCCAATCCAGATGATGATAATCGAGAGTTTCTAAGTTCAGGTATCTAAGGTGTAGTAAGTCGAATTGATTCCTTATTTAAATAGTAATTCATTTATGAAATAGAGAACTAAGATTATAGAGATGAGTTAGATATAGTCATAGAATAATTAAATACTAAAGAGTTTAATAATGCAATTTTTTAGCACTTTTTAGATACAACTGATGGTACTAATTTATTTATAGATAACATTATGTTAATATTAAAGAATGTGATGGGGGAGGATTTAAATGTAGTTTATTCATATTACTTGGCAGCAGGGATATCTTTAGTACTGATATATATTATAGTCTTTGGAATTTGGATGTACTCCACAAATTAAAGACTAATTTTGTTAAGATTAGTGTTAACTAATCTACCTATAGAAACATTGACAGAACCACACACATTAACATTATTAAAGAAATTGAAATGAGTTTATTCTCCTAATCTAATTAATAAATATATTGTTATATCAAATAACTAATCCTTTTAATTATATTATTTTTTATAGTATAAAAGTGTTTTTTAAATTAATAAATTCTGGAATTGACCAAAATTTTAATTTGATCTTGTGGAAATTAAATTATTAAATATATTAATTTCAGCAATCTATCTATTATAATTAATTATTAATTTCATCAAGTGATTTTTCATTCATTATCAATTGTAAAGTAATACTTGCAAATGGATCATCTTTATTATTTGTTTTCCATTCATTTAAATTGATTTATAATTTTGTTAATTTTTTTTTAGAATTCTTTAATTAAATTAATTAAGCCAAACATATTCCTAATTCTGTCACATTACTTTGATTGTCACCAATAGTTGCATTTGTATAATCATTAAGTTTGAAATTTCTATTTACTTCACAATACAATATAGAATCTAATGTAATTTCATTTAAAACTAGTTAATTTTCTTTTGCTGATATCAATCCTTATAAAAGATCACTTATAATCATTTTAATTTTTGCATTTGACAATTCATAAGTAAAATGTAGAATCGATTTACTACAATATTAAAACAAAAGAAGTTGAAACTTTAAATGAATTATTTCTTGATTCAACTTAAATCAAATACTTATTTCCTTTGCAAGATAATCTATTTTCTATGTCTGGACTTGATAACTGAAAATATTTTCAGGTGTTAATATAAATTTAGAATTTAATTAAAATAATTTCTAAATATTTATTTTAATTATTTACTTAAATTATGTCACTTTCACTTTGAATTGGTTTTATAAGAAACTTTTTTTTAGATTTCTTATCTTCAATCTAAAATAATTAAAAATATATACTATAATTTAATTTTAATTAGACAATAGATCTTTATCTATTTTTAGAAAATCAAAATCATAAATGGTCTATTCTCTTAAATTCATCTAATATTATAATGAACTATCAAATTTAAATTGAGAAATCTAATCAATTTAGATTTATTTAGCTCTAATTTATTCTTATTATCTCTTTTGTATTTTTTTTGATCTTTATACGATTTATTATAGAAATACTTAGCTTAAATCTATACACAGTCTTATTTTATATTTTTATTCTCATGTGAATCAATTTCATTATCAGATTAGCTATCTTGATTTTATAATTTTGGAGAATTGGAGCTCATCTAAATAATTAAATTATTTAATGATATAAATCAATAATTTAAGATAAGATTTGATATGAAAAAGTTAGAAAAAGATTAAAATTTAAAATATAAATATCGATGAAGAACAGATGAATTATAATATATAAATGGCATTAATATTTATATAATAAATATCATAATAGTGAAAATTCTATATTATAATGCAATATTGTTAAAACAAAAAAGCAGATAGAAATTACAATTTCTTCATTTCACAATTTAATGCTAGCAAATTCAAATCAGGTTACATATTTTATTAACTATGAAATAGATTAAATAAATGATTAAAAAATAATAGTTTAATATAGACACCTTATGATAAATGATTAAGTATAAAAATGATATAAGTAATGATATTCAAATTGAGAATGAACATAATGAATTCAAAATTAATAGTGTAATTTTAATACTAATCTAAGTGATCTAATCAAATAAAATAATATTCCAATAATAGAAGGGAATATATATTCCTTACTATATAGATTATACTCTTAATATAATTAATTCATTTCCAAAACTTCATCATCTAATAATATTCTAGCTATTAGATTAAAGCTTATAGTAGAGTTATGAATATAATATTAAAGTATTGTGATCTAATGAAAAAAAAAAGAAACATTTTTTTTTATTTATAAATCTTGATATAATTAATCATATTTATATTAATTTAACTATAACATAAATTTAGATTATTCTAGGAATGTCATTTTTAAATATTTTATGGATAATTTAAAAGAAAACTTGATTCTTCAATCATAATTTTCCATCCCTTCCTTCTTAACTAAAATATATGATATCTTAGAGGTATTCTAGTGCTCTAATATAGAATTCCAATTATTAAGATATCATTTAATGGTACTAAGATGGCACAGCATTTATTATAAAAAAACCTTATGAATTTGCAAAGAAAGTATTTTTATATTAATTTAAAACTTTAGGTATTACCTAAATATTTCAAACACAATAATTATACTTCATTTGTTAGATAATTAAACATATATGATTTTCATAAAATTAAAAATGAATTAGGAAAACATGTATTTTAACATAATTTTTTTTAAAAAGAAAAGAAGTATTCTTACTTTCTAATAATAATATAGATATTTGTTATGTGAGATAAAAAGAAAATCTACAGAATAACAAGAACAGTCTGAGGAAAATAATTAAAATTAATGTTAATATAAAATTAATTTACATTAGCCAATAATAATTCAATCTAACTTAGCATGTTTAAATTAAAACATGACTATCAATAATTTCATAATGAAATCTTGAGGGTTAAAGCTCAATAAAATGTATTTTAACACACCATAACTAAATTTATAACATAAAATGATTATCTAATGAATTAGAACTCATTATTATGGCAAGTATAATAATTTATTAAGCACTTATAAGGAAATTTAAAAAATTAGAAACGTTGATGATAAAAAATTAGAAACCATTTCATATCTTTTGGCTACATTAATAATTACTATAAATTAAAATTAAGAAAGTTCATTACTACCAAGTCAAAACTCTTCATATTATCAAAGTTCATCTTCAGATATTAGTATATCATAATAGAATTACTAAAGTAATTACTTAGATCAATCTATTAGTCAATAACAATAATTAAACTAAAGTATTAAATATCTTCATTAAAATTTAGGATTTATCCAATAAACAGGTTTAAGATAATCACAACTACTATTTTCTAGTATTTATTCTTATTTCAATTTTAGGCAAATAAGATCTTTCTTTATTTGATAAGGGATTAAATAAAAAAAGTTAAAATTAATTTAAAGCCCTAGAATAAGATGCCTATTCAAATGGTGTAGTATTTTATTAAAGTAAGATTTATATATCAAAAGTTTATAGAATTGATGGAATTACAATAGCAACAATAATTATAAGAAATGTTGGAAGGCTAAAATCATTTATTAATAAAATAAAGAAAATGATTTTATCTCCCTTTTATGTGAACTAACAATATAATATATATATATAATCTTTAATAAATATATTATATTGTAAAAGCAATAATTATTTTGAAATAGTTAGTAATTTTAATATTCATAACTTTATAAAGTGAGCATTATTATTTGATTATTGTAAATAAATATTAGAAACTATCTATTTCCTCTAGATTAATAAAACGGATAGTAACAAGAGTATAGAAATAAAATCCAATTGTCGTTTTTGAGATAATTAATATTAAATACATATACTAAAATGGCTGACATAGTTTTTAATTACATCAATATCATCAATGACTAAAAATCAACTGAAATCTAAGTGAAAGATTCTGGAATATTAAAAAAGAGTATAAAGAAAGGAAAAGGATGTCTATGTTAAAAGTTAAGATAGAAAAAGAAATATAAAATATAATCACCAGAGGAGTCATCAAATGAGTGTGATGGTTGGGAAGAGGAAGACAATTATAATAGGAAATCATCAAAACAAAGAAATTAGAAAGAATTTGTCGATTTAGTTTAGTACGCATCTAAACTATATTACATGATAAATATTGCGAAACAATAACTTAAAGAATTGGAAGAAACTATGCAATCAAATCATGCATAAAATTGATTTGGACTTTTTAAGTTAAAATAAATTAAACCTATATACAATTGTTGATCATCTCATAATATTATGATATTTAAGATGATTATATTATTTTCTTATTTATTTCATACATTATATTACATATTTATCTATTCTATAAATAAATTAGTATTCCTTCTTACAAATTATAATGATCTTATAACCAATATTATCAAATTACCAAATAATACAAGTAAACAAAATGCTGAAAAAAAGTTATTTTATAATTTTTATCAAATTACAGTTAAATCCAATTAACAAAATATAAATGATTTAATTAGTTATGATATTTTTTATAAATTTTAGAGAATAAGATTAAGGAATGAAAAAATATTGTTAAAAAATACATAAATAATATAAATACAAATAAATTAAATAAATATTATAAATTAATATTTATACTATGAATTGAAAAGAATTCAAATAGATATCTTTATAATTATTTAGTTCATTAAAAAATAATGAAATACTCAAAAATAACAATTATTATTTGAATATTTAGTATTTTATATATATCATTTAATTTAATTCAAGTCTATATAAAGATGATTGATCTTTATATTGAGAATATTATTTATTTCTTTATAATATTAAACATTTAATTTGCATTAATAAAAAAGGGATAATTATTTATATTATAATTATCAGTGTGTTTTATAAATAAATATATACAAAATTTTCAGATGATTTATTTATATTTGTAATCCTTAATATCTTATATATATATATATATTTATAACATTCATCAAATTAAATTAATTATAATAATATTTGCTGCAGAATAAGCTTTGTTCATTAAAAATCTTTATATAAAATAAAATTTGTTTTAAATTAATGCAATAACCCTTTACAATAAATCCAAAGTGCTTTGGGTAATTTGTTAGACCTAAACACAATATTGAACAACAAGAACACAAATAAAAGAATGAATAATAATAATAATGTTTATCTAAAAATATAAATACCAATCCATAGATGTGGATCAAAAATAGATCAATCACAATATGTTCCAATACATCTACTTTACCTGAAACTTTGTCTACATCCTAATAGATTTAAGAGTTAAATTAATCAATTTAAGAAGTAAAATAAGAAGAAATGTTTTATAAAACTATGCCAACATTATTCTAGTAACTTTAATAAAAGAACAATAGAAAATATGAACCATAGATGTAAATCACTCAATTCTAAATTGATCTTGCTAAAGTAAGTCTCTATTCTTATCAAGATTTGTGATGATGATAGAACCACTCTAATGATTCGTAATATTCCTAATAAATACACTCAACCTATGTTACTAGAGAATATAGACATTAATCATAAAGATACTTATGATTTTTTTTATCTTCCAATAGATTTTACTGTAAATTTTTTATTAATATTAGAATAAATGCAATGTAGGATATGCATTTATCAATTTCTTACATACTAAATTTATACCAAAGTTTTTTTTAGAGTTTCAAGACAAAAAGTGGAAACTCTTTAATTCAGAGAAAGTATTAATTTTATTTAGATTTTAAAGATCTGTTAAATCACATATGCCAGAATTTAAGGTGTAGAATAGTTATAGGGTCATTTCTAATACTCAACTATTATGTAAGAGAAGGTAAAAAAATTATTTTTATAACAAGGATAATCGATTAAAGCCAATCTTTAAGAAAAATAGATCCGATTAATAATTTATTAAATGGAGATGATATTTGTATTAAAAATACTGATCTAATTTATTATTTGCTTTTCTTTTTTCAATATTATTATATAACTGAATCTCTAATTACGTATTATATTATATTATTTTTTATGAAATATCTTCTTATATCAACCTTCGTGATATTATCATATTAATGGTGGGATGTAGGTCATATGATGACTGCATAAATAGCAAAAAATCATCTGAGAGAGAATAGACCTGATGTTTTGGCATGGGCTGATTCATTAATATAAGACTTTAGCTCCCTTACTGATGGAAGATCTAACACATTTGCAGAGGCTGCAGTTTGGCTTGATGATATTAAAGAAACAGGAACTAATTTCATGAACGATTGGCATTACACTGATCGACCAATGAATCCAGATGGTCTCTAAATTAAAATAGAAGATCAAGCTAGAAACATCAATTCCATCTATGCCATCAATTCAGCTACCTCTGTATTAACTAGCACCAAAACTGCTAAATACAGACATACAGTTTTCAAGGCTGAAATGATTAGAGTGTTATTGCATGTTGTAGGTGATCTACATTAACCACTTCATGATACTACTTTTTGGAATGCTACCTTTCCTAATGGAGATTAAGGAGGAAATTTGATGAAAGTACAAGTAATAATTAATACTAATATTAATTAGATTGAAAATGGTACTTTTGTTAATTTACATTCTTTTTGGGATGCAGGTGCATTTGCCTTTACTTCTAATTCAACTTTTCTAACTAGACCTTTATCTTAAAAAGATTAAGAATATCTGGATAATTGGGCAAAAGACTTGATGATATCATATCCATATTCCAATTATAAAGATTACGATATGACGTAAGTGTATTAAAAAATTATGTAGTAATCCTACAGTTTGGACCTATGTTGGATTTAGATAAGCTCAACAATTTGTTTATCCAATGATATAGTCATCAAATAACTTCAATAAAAATTATGTTGAACAAGCAAAATAATTCTGTGAAAACAACATTGTTATTGGTGGTTATAGATTAGCAAACAAATTGATTGAAATCTTTGATACAATACTATTAAATGAATCCAAGATCAAATTAGATTAATGATCATTATTTTATTAAAATGTATCTCAATCTCTTCATTATAAATTTATTATCATTTAATTATAACTATCATTAATTAATAATTATATATTTTTATAATGTTTGAAATATCAAAATTTGATATCATTTAAATGTCATTATTTTTCAGAATTAAACACATCTTTCCCACCAACTTGGATATGAAGTTTTTGATTTAAAACGACGAATCTAGATATTATAATTAAAATAGATACTAAATATTTTCTTCCTTCTGCCCAAATCAGCATTACTAATGCAAAAGGAAGTGCTCCTGTACCATAATGAATAAATAACACATCTCTAGTTCCAAAGACAGCATTAAATACTTGTACATAAGATAAACAAACTGTTAACATAAATTCTACCCAAAAGGCAAAAAACATATAATAATTAGAAAAACCTAATTATTTAATTGAATTAATTACCTTAAAATGTTCCAGCATTAATTAATGATCTTAAACCCTAGTAATTAGTAATTTATCCAACTACAATTCCATAAAGGAAAGTAGTCTAAGCATAATTTGAAGCCTCAGTTGTATAACAATAAGGTCTATTTGTATATGGAGAAACTAAATTAACAGTACATTATGCCCATTCAAATGATTACTAAATCTTACCATCTTTACATTCAAGATAAGCCATCCTTAAATCAAGTTTAGAATGATTTGCAAAAATCCAATCTACTTCCTCAGATTTAGATTCAGGAAATTCTGTACAAACTCCATCTTTATATAATTCTTTTAGATTTGTATTACCAAACCAAGGATCATTAGGATCAAAAATATCATTAGTTTTTGGTAGTATAGTTTTTCTTATGCCAATATAAAGTAAATTTGAAGGATAGAATCCAAAATCATAAAATGATGCAAACCATTAGAAAAACCCACAATATGTAGACAAAAAACCATTCTGTAAATAAGCATATATGAACATTTTCCCCCCTACTAAATGATCATCTTTAGATCTTGGTCTCCTAGTCATTATATCAATTTCTGCATCTTCAAATACAAAAGTTGTGCATGGAAAAACATCAGTTCCCAAATCAATACACAATATTAATACAGTAGTTAAAGGTAAAGGTAGTCTAAAAATGACAAATGCAACAAATGGAACTAATTCTGAAATATTTGATGTTAAACAATATGCCATACTTTTCTTTAAATTATCAAAAATCTTTCTTCCTTCTTCTATACCTATAACAATATTTGAAAAATCATCATTTAATAATATCATATCTGCTGCATCTTTAGCAACATCAGATCCTGTAATACCCATAGCAACTCCAATATCAGCCTTCTTAATAGCAGGACTATCATTTACTCCATCTCCTGTAACAGCCACAATATGTCCTCTTTTTTAACATCCATCTACAATAATTAACTTTTATGCTGGACTTGTTCTTGCAAAGACCAATTAGGGTTTACTTAACCATTCCTATAATTATCTTCCTTTTTCATCTTCCGGTAAACCTTCATCATCAATTGCCATTTTAGTTAATTTATCACCATGGATTACTAAAGCATTTGATTAATGGAATGCCTCTTCAAATGATATACCTCTTTCAATCATTATTTCATCAACTGTTTTCTCTGTTATTATATTACATTATCTAGCTATGGCTGTAGCTGTGACTGGTTAATCTCCAGTAACCATAATAACTTAGATCCCTGCAGTTTTACATTTAATAACAGCATACGGAACATTATCTTTAGGAGGATCAATTAATGAAATTAAACCAACAAAAACTTAATTATTAAATGGAAAATTCATTTTATCTAGATTAAATTAATATCCTATTGGAAATTATTCTTTTGGTAAATGTAATTTGGCAAATCCTAATACTCTTTCTCCTTATCTTCCAAACTATTCATTAATCTAATCAAAAGATTTTTCCCATTTCTCATCTTTTGTTTCTATTTTTCCATCCTTATATACTTAATCACATAATTTCCATATTCTCTCTGGAGCTCCTTTTGTTAATAAACAATAATGAGAATCTTAAGTTTCATATTCCACTATGATAAATGCATATTTATTATTAGAATTAAAAGGCATTTTTGCAAACTTATTTTCTGAATCTTTTGCAGGTTTTCTACTTTCTCTCATTCTTTAGATATCACTTATTGGTTAAAAGAATTTTATTAAAGCAGTTTCAGATGCATCTCCTATAGTAGGTTTATCTTGACAAAGCATCTTATTAAAATTTTATTCCCATTTCTCATTAGCTTCTTTTAATTTTTAATCTTTTTATTATTGATTTAAACCAATTGCATTCTATATTCTAATCTTTTAATCTTAAGGTAAAGAATTATCAAATGTTGCTTCTGAACATAAGACAGCTGTTTCTTAAAGTGTTTTAAAACCTATTTCATTAATATCATATTCATATTTATATTTTGGACCCATTTTTTCTTAATTCATTCCTCTATGCTTTTTGTTATTAAACCATAAATTTTCAACAGTCATTTTATTCTAAGTCAATGTTCCTGTCTTATCAGAACATATACAAGATCTATTATTTAAATAGATTATTACGTTGATCCTAGAGTTTCCACTCCCTCCAAATTTTTCACAAGAACCTTCTTATAAGCTAATTTTTTTGCTGTTAATGTTAATGCAACTGTAACTGTGGCTAGAAGTCCTTCTGGAACATTGGCTACAATAATTCCTATTCCAAAAACAAGATTTGTGATTGGAGCTAAGAATATAATATTTATTTATACGATATCCTATCACAAAACCCAACACAAAGAAGATTACACCAAATGTTGTTGCTATTGCACTTATATTCTTTATAAAATTATTAAGTTCTTTTCTTAATGTAGTATCTTCACTTCCAGAACTTTATACTAAACCAGCTATTTAACCAATTACAGTATTATCTCCTGTAAAAATAACCAAACCTTTTCCATTACCCTATTTAATAAGATATTAAATTACCTCTTTGCATAAAGTTCCAAAAAAGGCTAAATTCTTTGTTTCTAAAGGATTCACAAGATTTGTGCATTCTGGAGTTCTCATTAATAATAATGACTCTCCTGTCAAACTTGAATTATCAACCTTCATTTCATTACTCTCCAATATTCTAAGATCTGCTGGAATTCTTTTTCCATTTTCAACAATCACTACATCACCAGGTACTAAATTTGAAGCCGGTAATTTTTATTATTATCCATCTCTTATTACTAAAGTCTCAGGAGGTATGAAATTCTTAAAGGAGTCCATTATAGCTTCTGATTTGGCATTCTAGAAAAATGTTATAACTCCTGTCAGTGTATTTACTACTACTATAACAATACCCAAATATAACTAGAATACTAATATAAAATTTACATTAGAAGGATCCTCAGGAGACAATCCATAAGCTATAAAGCATAAGATTGATCCAACCCACAAAAGCATTGAAAACATAGAAGTTAATTCATGTATTAATTTTATATACCAAGGTACTTTTTCTTTTTAAGTTAATTCATTTTTTCCAACTTCCAATAATCTTTAATTGGCAAAATCTTTATTTAATCCATCTTTTGAACTTGTCTAAAATCTCTACTCAAGTTCTTCTAATGGGATTCTATGTTCATCCTTAATTTTTAAATATATTAAGTACCATATTTTTGAATTTTTCTGCTTTATTTGCATCCACTTTTTCTTTCTCCTTACTCTTACCTTTGTCAATTTATGATAACAGCTTCTTTCTTCTTTCTGCTATCTCTCTTGTGAGTTAATCAAATTCCTTCCTCGCTTATACAAGTTATAATTCTTAGCTAAACATTAGATAACAGGATACTTCTGTTAAGTGAACATGGTTACTATCATAGACGCAGATTTATTAGCCGATTTCATTTGTAATTAAAAATTCAATCCTAATAAGATTTAATTGTCCTTATAAAACAATGATGTAATATAATTGATTAATTTATAAAATTCTAAGATGTCCCCTAAAACTCATAAGCGCTGATTTTTGAAGTATACGATTCTAACCTTAAACTTAGATAATAAGTTAAGACTTATTGCCATTTCTGTAAATTTCTAGTTGCAATTTCAAAAATTGAGATAAAAATTGTTTTAATATAATTTTTATATTTCATTATAGTGATATTTTTATTATGAAAAATAATTATATAAATTATGTGGTATTATTATTATATTTGATCAAATTCGAAATGATTTTAATATATATAACAATCATTAATAAAAATAATAAATGTCTTATTAATATGTTATTATGATATAAAATTATAATTGCTGGTTTAAATAAATGTTAAAAATATTTAGAAGAAAATTAGTTATTTTATTCATAATTAAAATATTAAATTTATTTTAATATCACAATTATTTACTCAGAATAGCATACTTGAAATAAAAAGATTAAAAATTGTTGATTGTCTCGTTAAGCTGATCTAACTTTGCAATTTATCCTTAAAATAGAATAATTAATAGAAAATAAATTATTTTATTATTAAAGAATACAAAAATAAAATGTTTAACATAAGAAATTGTAATTCTCAGCAAAATAATAATAAGAATCAGGACAAAGAGATGAAAATTAAATTTAAGACATAATAATTAAACAAATTATATTATAATTGTATTTATATATTAAAGGAGATAAATATAAAATATCCTTAGTTAAATAATTAAAAATATATTCTTAAGCTTCATTATTATACAATTCAAAAATATTCGTCATGATAAATAAATAAAATATGAATTCCAAAAGCCTCTCAAAAACCCAAATAATCAAAGATTAAATGAAGAATCAATAAATACCTTATAAATCGATGGAACGTCTTTCGATATGTTAACCTTTCAGCAACAATGAATTTTTCAACCGATAAAAATTGTATGATGATTTATACAACACTAATCAATTCAAATGTGAAAGCTTAAACTTTGTGACTACAGAGAAGGGAATTAAACAAAGTAAGTATAAGGACATTGTTGAGTCAGCAAAATTAAAATATGCTTAATCACCAAATAATCTCAGAAACAATATAATATAATTACAATAAAACTCAATTACAGACATTGTAGAATAATTGAGAAATCAAAAGAAAGCTAATAATGTAAAACTTAAAAATAATGCTAACAACCTTTAGAAATTTTAGTAATTAAATCTGAATTTAATTTTGATTATAGCTATTCCATTAATATGTAGCTTGGTAGTACTTTTTGAAATGACAAGAATGGAAGGACAAAATACAAATTGAATATATTGTATATCAAGTAATATACTTGAAAATGTTTTAAAAACTATAAAGTATCTTTGAATATCATAAAAATATTATATTTTTAAAGTAAATTCATATCTTATTTGAAATTTATTTTTCTAAATCTAATATTCATAAACTGATTTTGATTTAAAAGTATTACTATTCCATTTTTTAAATTTCTGTTAAATTATTTTTCAACTAAAATAAGAATTTAGAAAATTAATATTAGTATTAATCCAGAGCTTTAACCTTAGTTAAGGAATAGGTCTTGAGGTGAGGTTTAATCTTTACATTTTTAAAAAATTAGGATTAAAAATTTTCATATATTAAACATAAGATAATCAAGAATATTAATTAAATAAAAATATCTTAAAATGCATTTATTTAATATATTCTTTAGTGTCCATAACAGAATATCGGGAAACTAAATTTTGTATTAATCAGTATTAAACATAATTAAAAATAAAAGACAACTATATTTTGTTAAGTAATTTCTAATTTTTTATAATTAGTGAATTTTTATAAGATTATATATATTCTTAAAGATCCTTTTAATTAGAATTAAAAAGGAAATCATCACTTAAATTAATTTTTATTTTCCCAATATTTTTTAATAAATAATTAATACTAATTTAAGTTTATCAAATGTTTGTAAAACATATGATCATACAACATAATAAAAGAATTTATATCTAATTACTTAATAAATACTAATAATCTATGAATTTACATATTAATTAGATGATTGGAAGATTTATTCTCAAAATGATGAATTTTCAATTGGAGAATGATGTGAATGTTTTATGAATTGCATTAGATTTAAAGAAAAGACTTATATTTCTAGTTGATATTTTAAGTTCATTAAAAATTGAAATTATAGAAAATTTGCTTTTATTATTTTATATGGAATAATAGATTTTAATAATTGTTGTAATATTACTCTTTCAAAGTATCTGTTGGAACAATATATTAATAGTATTTCAGTAAAAATAAAAAATGAATGAATTTTAATAGAGTCATCTGATTAGACTATAGTTCTTTATGACAATACTCATAATATCAAAGATTGTGATCATTGTTCTACCAAGATGCTTCTACTTGTATTAATTTCCATATCACAATCAATTAAATTAGAAAACAATCTTCATAGTTATCATGTTTAATTCATTAACAAAAATCTATATTTATCCAGATAATGTTTTTGATCTAGGATATTAATTATGGAAGGATAAATGACATCTTTGTATTTATATATATTAAATATAATTTAATATGTAATAAATTGACATAGATAATCATCATTTAAACTTCTAATTAGAACTACAATATGCAAGAGCAAGATAACGATAGAGAAGAAGAAGGGTCCTCCTAATTGTATTTGCCATCATGTCTATCTTTTATGTAGTTATCAAACCAAAATAATATGCTGAAAAATCAAGTCAGATTCCATATTCTTAAAATAATGGTACTAATGGAGCCATCAATATTACAGAGACTAATTAAACTTTAGCTTAAATTTAATCACATTTTCAAATCTTAGAAAAGCTACTTATCTCATAATTCTAAGGAATATGGACAGATTCTTAAAATTTATCTAATAACTTAGCAGAAGCTAATTTTTATAAAACTTCCTATTAAAATCGCTTTTAAATACAATTATCATTAAAACTCATTGAAGGTTAATTTCTAGAAGATTATTATAACTAATTCTCATTTTATTTGAATTCTTCATAATTAATTATACCACTTGAAGATAATAAGTTTGTTTTTGAGAATGTTAGAGGGTCTTACAGAAGATCTAGTGTTTTTGAAAAAGATCAATCCAGCATAGAAATCTACTCTAATTTAACTATATATTTAAATAATTTTAATATTGAGAGTGAATCAATAGATAATATTACATTAGAATTAAATGCTCATTATAAATTAAATTCTGATACATTCTCTTTCAGCTCTAGTCTTAATATCATAAATGTAAAAAAATATATATAAATTAAGATAGATAACAAAGCTATCATTTATTCTACCATTGTATCTGTTTTAAGTGTAATTTAATTTATCAGTTGTCTAAAATTAATGAAAGATTTTATTAATTAAAATAGAATTGCTACATAATTCAGTCTATTTATATTTGTTTTTCTTATGATTTTTGATGGATATTTAGGAATTGTTCATTTCTTTCTTGCAATAAAAAGTGAAGTATATCATTTTATTATTACTTTAGTACTTTCTAACACCTGCTTTCCTCGAATTAGTACTATTCTTTTTTTTGGAATTGAAACTTGCTAAACATATTTGGTAAGAAAGGTTTATCAATTTAGAAGACAATCTAAATTTAAGAAGAGAGTTATATAGATTTCATCTTAAATTTTACTTCCTTGCTATTATTTTAGTACTTTTACTCTATTATTTTGTTTACTACAATGTTTTTTTGATTTTTATGAACCTATACTTACTACCATAAATTATACATGTAGCATATAAAGGACAATAAGTAGAATTTGATAAAATATTTGTTTTTGGCTTATTGTCAACCAGATTATTCATACCTGTAATATATTCATATCATCTTTTAGATATATTATAGAGGTTGCCCTTACAATATTCTACATGCAAAAGTATCGTATTTATCAGTCACTCTTATTCTTATCTTATTTACTGCTTAAATAGTACTGTATTATTATCAATGTAAAATTGGACCCAGATTTTTCATACCAAGATGTTTAAGACCTAAAACTCATGAATATTTTATTGAATAACCCATTGAAGGAGATTGTGCCATTTGTATAACTTAATTAACTGACATACCAACTGAATCTTAATTAGAAAATAAATCTATTGCCCGTATTATTAGTAAAAATTAAAATAAACTTATGGAAACACCTTGTGTATAATTATCTCTCATTATATTAGGGTCATCATTTTCATTCTATTTGTTTAACTAAATGGATGAATGTCAAATTAAACTGTCCAACTTGTCGTACTGTACTTCCACCATTAATTTGATTCATATCAATAAATAAAAGCTTATTATTTATTTGACTTTACAATTTAATCAAAATTTAAAATTCACTTCTTAATAATATAGATTATTATTTCATTTATATAATTATTAAATTTTATAAGAGACAAAAAGAATACATTTAATGTTCTTATTATCACAATTTTTTTGTTTTCAGTTATAAATCATCATGTATAGAAAGTTAAAAGTTAATCAAAACACTAAAAACTTCTTATCTATTAAGCAAAGTTTTATCTTTTAAAATTTGAGAACAAGTTATTTTTGTATTTTTGTAATTTCTTTTTTCTTTCTTTTAAAATTATTACAATAATCTCTTTTGTATAATATATATATTTGAAGATATATTGTTAAATAATCATAATCTTATTTTTATTCAAGTAAATTATCCTTTTATACAAAAAATAATAGATTATCAATTTAGAATGAACACCAATTTTGGTAAATATTTAAGTTAATATATATTTATGATGAATATTTGAGTAATTTATTATAATAAAATGAATGTAATAAAAAAGTGTGATTTAATGATTGTTATATATAATGAAGTAATTTTTATACTGTTTTAAAAATAATAAAATCGATTTGTTTAATATATATTTTATTATTATAATATCTTAAAATGGAAGAATAACTCATAAATGTAATATTTGATCCAAATTTCTAATCTTTTGATTAAGAATTGGCCAATTTAAGTATGGATAAAATGATGAGTATCTAATTCTCAGAAGAATTATTACAAAAAAATTTTGCAGTTTTGATATCTATATTAAAACAATTGCATAAGGGAATGGTATTGTTAAATTCTAAAGTGTAAGATAATACTGACTGGGTGTAGGTAAAATATGAATAAATAATAAGAAACTAAAAGAAGTAAGTGAAACTCCTGAAACTAAATAATAGAACAAAGAGACTATTGATCAAATCACTGAAAAATTATCGTAAATGCATGAATTACATGTATAACAAGAAGTTTCTTAGAAGGACTATGCAACAAAGGAAGAATTAGATTAAACAAATTAGAAATTTAGTAAGTCTTTGATTTACATTCCATTTAGATAGAATTGTAAAATAATAAGAACAAACTTTGTAGGATTTAGAAAGTGAATTAACTGGTTAAACCAAGAAAATAGAAGATATAAATAATACTCAAACACAATAATCTGAGTTATTAAAGTAATTAAATCAAGAAATTGAAAATATCAAGAAATAGATGAGTGGATTCTAAAATGAGTTACATGAAGTGGAGGAACGCAAACCAGAATAGATAATAATAGAGAAGGAAGTTATCAAGGAAACTCCAATTCAACCTATAGCTCTTCCTATTCAATATGCTGGAAATGATGAATAGATAAATAAATTGAATTAAATAATTCTTGAGTTAAGTAAATATTTACATTAGAGTTAGAATAAAAATAAGAATAATTGTAATAAGATCTAGCCAATTTAAAAGAGGGATTGAGTAAAGTCAAAGATACTGAGGAAAGTAATCCAATAGATTTATCAGATATAAATAAGAAATTAGATGGTCATGAAGAGGAAATCTAATCTTTATTTGAAATTCTAGATAATATAAGACAGAAATTAAAGGATTAAAATAATAATTAATAATCTGATGTATCAAATGAGGAATTAAATTAAATGAAAAATGAAATAAAGAAATTGTAATCATAAATTGAAGCTTTGTAAACATAATTAAACTTAGCATCATTTGGATAAGGTGAAGATATGCAAGAAAATTAAGTAGCTTTAATTTTAGGAGAAATCAATAAATTAAGAGATCAATTATAAATTTATTGTACAATAATAGATTTTTAAAATGAGAATACAAAAAAGGAAATGAAAATGAAAATTGTTTAAGATCATGCTGATGAAGAATTAGAAAAAGCAAGAAGGGAATTCAAAAGTAAAATTGATAAGAAAGCAGAATAAACAGATATTGCAAAATTGGAAAAGGATATAATTTATTTAAAAGAGCAAATAGGAAAATCTTAATAGAGATAATCTTCAATACTTATTGAAACACCATTAAAACAAGGGAATACTGATAAAGAATTATTAAATTAAATTAAAGAATTATAATAATCAATAAAAGAAATTGAAAAGTAATTTGTATTTAATTTTTTATTAGTGATTTATTAATACATAAAACATAAATGAATTAAAATAATTAACAAACTCATATAAAATTAGCTGAATTGGAGAAGAAGATTTAAGGCATTTAAACTGATAAAATTTATATAGAACTATAAAATTAAAGAGAATAGATGGATTTAATTAAACGTGATTAAGATCAAAATAAAATTAAGATAAACAATTTTGGAAAGAAAATTGAATCAATTGTAACTAAAGATGAATTATTTTAAACTTTTGATCCTAAAATTAAATAAGTAAGAGATGAAATCTAAAGAATTGGAGATGAAACTAAATTAAACATTGAAAGAAAAGCTGATGCTTAAGAAGTTAAAGATTTGAATTAAACATTCTTAGATTAATTACAAAAGGTTGTTACTGAACTTATAAAAACATTAGCTAATAAATAAGAAACTAAAAAGGCTCTTATATATCTAGAATAGAAAGTATTATAAAACATATATATATATATAGATTAATTAAATATTTATGATACTTGAAGGAGATGGATCTAAAGATTAGGATTCCTTATTTGTAAAGAAGCCTCTCTCTTGGAGTTGTGCTTCATGTGACAAAGATTTAGACAAATACAAAGGATAATTGGGAGATTTTAAAAATTGGGCAGTGTTCCCTCCAAAAGAAACTTCACCTGAGAGAATGGGCAAGGTAGATTTTGATTCTATACTTAGTTTGGAATTGGATATAAGAATATGTAAGAGAAATTGAAATCAAACAGAGAAAAATTAGATAAGGATAGAAATTAGAATGAAAAAGAATCCAGTTAACATTAATAAAGCATGACATTAAGTCAAAGTTAAACACAATTACCAAAAATTAAATAATGATGATGTCTTTATTTCAATATATAATTAGAAAACAAAAATTTAAATAATATTAAATGTTACGAGAGTTATAAAAATGGTTGAATAAATAAAGAAAATTTGATTTGGTTTCTCTTTATTTTACCACTATCACATCTTTTAAAATAGGATGATATGGTATATATTAGCATTTCTTTTTAGTAAAAATTATATTTTGTTTACAAATTTATTGAATTTATCTTACTAAATCTTATATAATTAATCATAAAATAAATTATTCATTGTAAATTAAAATAAGAAGGAATTTTAAATCAAGTATTTATATATAATTGTTATATTAAAATTAAAAATAATTAAACCAAGTAATAAATCATAAACTTTTAAATAAAGATCAATGATATTTTATAAGGAGAGTTTATTATAAAGACTAGTTTGATAATCTAAATTCTAGTAGAATTCAAAATAGTAAATAATGATTTCAACTTATTGTATCAAAAAAGTATCAATTTACACATTAATATGGATAAATATCAAAATAATATTATGATTCAATGGATCATCAGGATTAAATATTATATATTGATTAAGAGTAAGAGTAAGCACATTATAATGCAAAATCTATATAATTTACAGAATGAAAATAACTAGAATTTTATAATGTTATAAAATTTGATCAACTTATCTATGAGTAAAAAGATGTCTTAAAGTTTAAGAGATGAAATACTATTTAATTTGATATCTCTTTAATTCTTAATTAATCGACGCATTCATGAACTTATGAAATTTTCTACTGTGTTTTACAAGTCTTTGTAATAAAAATTAGCTTATGACAAAAGTTTAATTGTAATTTTTGAGAGGTTATACCCTTAAATAAGAATATTTCAATTGAAAACAAATTCAATAAGAAGGATTTAAGAAAAATTGGATCTGTTTAAGGAATCATTAAGGAGGGTGTAAATAAGAATTTCTTAGTAAGTTGTGGATATATATGGACAATTATATCAGAATCATAGTTAGTATATTGATATGAATAAAGAATAAATGGATATAATAAAACTTAAAAAGTGTATAAGAAGATATTTCAGTCAGGTGAATATAATAAATCAAAATATGCTTAAAATTATGATGAAATGTAATTAGAAATGATGAATAAAGTAAGTAGGAAGAAATTGTAGGGATTGACAAATATAAAGAGTTGATATGTTAAAGAAAATAAAGAGAATCTTTGTAATTGTTTAAATGGAATTAGATACAAATAAGAGAATACTAGAATAATTCAAATGAAAATTTATAAGTTTAAATGATTTCTTAAGTTAGAGAGGTTTAGTGAATAATTATAATATACTAATCAATCTTCTTTTACTATCCAACATTTTTCACATACATCATAATCACATTCTTAACATCTATATGCTCCACCTATTATCGAAGTTCTACACACATCGCAAGAATGATATTTTAAATTAGGAACATATTTCAATCTATTATTGATAATATATACTCGTGTCCACCACCACAAAATTCACCCATTACAGNTTAAATCAAGTATTTATATATAATTGTTATATTAAAATTAAAAATAATTAAACCAAGTAATAAATCATAAACTTTTAAATAAAGATCAATGATATTTTATAAGGAGAGTTTATTATAAAGACTAGTTTGATAATCTAAATTCTAGTAGAATTCAAAATAGTAAATAATGATTTCAACTTATTGTATCAAAAAAGTATCAATTTACACATTAATATGGATAAATATCAAAATAATATTATGATTCAATGGATCATCAGGATTAAATATTATATATTGATTAAGAGTAAGAGTAAGCACATTATAATGCAAAATCTATATAATTTACAGAATGAAAATAACTAGAATTTTATAATGTTATAAAATTTGATCAACTTATCTATGAGTAAAAAGATGTCTTAAAGTTTAAGAGATGAAATACTATTTAATTTGATATCTCTTTAATTCTTAATTAATCGACGCATTCATGAACTTATGAAATTTTCTACTGTGTTTTACAAGTCTTTGTAATAAAAATTAGCTTATGACAAAAGTTTAATTGTAATTTTTGAGAGGTTATACCCTTAAATAAGAATATTTCAATTGAAAACAAATTCAATAAGAAGGATTTAAGAAAAATTGGATCTGTTTAAGGAATCATTAAGGAGGGTGTAAATAAGAATTTCTTAGTAAGTTGTGGATATATATGGACAATTATATCAGAATCATAGTTAGTATATTGATATGAATAAAGAATAAATGGATATAATAAAACTTAAAAAGTGTATAAGAAGATATTTCAGTCAGGTGAATATAATAAATCAAAATATGCTTAAAATTATGATGAAATGTAATTAGAAATGATGAATAAAGTAAGTAGGAAGAAATTGTAGGGATTGACAAATATAAAGAGTTGATATGTTAAAGAAAATAAAGAGAATCTTTGTAATTGTTTAAATGGAATTAGATACAAATAAGAGAATACTAGAATAATTCAAATGAAAATTTATAAGTTTAAATGATTTCTTAAGTTAGAGAGGTTTAGTGAATAATTATAATATACTAATCAATCTTCTTTTACTATCCAACATTTTTCACATACATCATAATCACATTCTTAACATCTATATGCTCCACCTATTATCGAAGTTCTACACACATCGCAAGAATGATATTTTAAATTAGGAACATATTTCAATCTATTATTGATAATATATACTCGTGTCCACCACCACAAAATTCACCCATTACAGGAGGTTGTCTACATTTAACACAATAATATATATTGCATTAAACACATCCATATCTACTCATAGTGTCAACTGGACCACATTAATTACATTTTTAAATATGCTTCTTGACCCATTATAGTTTATGTTCATTTTGACATACATCATTTGCAGCCCAATTAATCATAATTTTTACAATATTATTAATATTTAAAATATTCATATATATATATATAAATGAACAACCCTGATCCACTTGATAAAATCTTATAACTCGGATAATAATATGAATAGCAGTATTAAATCTATTCGAATTAGGGTTTAACAAAGAAAAATAATCTAAAATACAATAGAAATTGTAAATTAAACTGAATAACAGATTTTGAAAGACAGAAAAGAATTTGAAAAATACTTATAACAAAAATGAAAAGTTGAATCAAATTTATTAATTTGACAAATCAATAATCAACTTATCACATTCTACTAATATTTATTTATTCTCTTATTCTTTTAAAATTATATAAATGTTAACAAATTAACGAGTAATAATTACAACCCTACGTAATAGATTCAAAATTAAAGTACAAATGTAATAATGTTATATTATTTAAATTTATCATAAGGATATATTTTGTTACTTTAATAATAATAAATAAATTATACTTTTAAGATATCTATTGTATTATTATTCTTTTAATAATAATACTTAAATAATTAATTATTATTATTATTAAAAGTAACAATGAAAAACTTATAAATTTACAATTTCATATCATATAAGTGTCTGTTTTAAAAGATACTTTTTTATTATTCTATAAATTATGTTATTAATTATCTTTAGATTAATATTAATAATTTTATTATTTTATGCAATCTTAATCTATAGGAGAAGTATTTCAATTTAACTTATAAAGGATTATTTAGTTAAAACTGAAGCCAAAGGTGAAAGTCTAGCAAACAATAGTAAATTAAATAAAGAAAGTTCTATGATTGAATAAGAAACCAATAATAATATCAAGTTGATTCCTGATGATAAAGAAAAGTTCTTTGAAATAATATTGAAAGAATAGGTTAAAAATATGTTTAATATTATTAGTAAATGAGATTGGATAAGAAATATCAAGATATGTATGGATAATATCCTGGGAATCTCGAGGATATGATTCGTTCAGAAGTATTTAAATAATATGGATATGATGATTGTCCTTCAAATCATAAATTATATTATGTTTTGACTCAGAAATACAGAAATGATCCTGAATTGAAAAAATAAGTATTCTTTTGGAGAAATAATGTAATGTAAGGATGTAGACTTTCTTTGAACCAAGAACCACCTAAAATTCAATTGTTTAATTTATAAAGTTAGAGAGTTTCCCTCAAAGAATTAATGTTACAGAGTCATTAAGAGAATAGACTTCTTGTTGTTTATTCTGGTAGCATTACATGACCTCCATATCGTGAAGCTATAGCTGATTACATTGCATTTGCATAAAAATATAAAGATATTTGCAAATGCATTATTACATATGTAAAGGAGGCTCATTTTGTTGAGAGAGATGAATAAGGCAAATTTGTAGATGGATGGCCTATTGGATTCTATGAATATGAATATCCATAACACAAATCTCAGAAAGATAGATAGTAAATGGCTAAAATGCTTCAAGAATAGTTTCATATTCCAAAGGATTTAGATGTCTATTAAGATTAATTTCCTGATAATTTATTTGATGAATCTTTTGGAATTTGGCCATTTAATATGGTTGTTTTCAAGGAATGTAAATTTATATGGAGAGGAATCTTAAATTTAGAGGGTTTAAAAGAGAAATATCATTCTAAATAATTAGAAAATCATTTATAAAATCTTAAATATTGAATTTATTAAAATAGTAATCATTGAAATGAATTCTATTAGTAAAAACAAATTGGAATATTGATAGAATGAAAAATATGATGGTTATTATTATGTATTATAATTCAATCTAAAATTTTGAGTTTATCCATATATATTTTCAAGTTAATGGAACTTGCTTAATCGTACTGTTAGAAATCATATTTGAAATGGAGTTCTATGATGAATTAGATTAATTTTAATTAATGAATAATTAATAATGTTACGAAATTAAGATGAAAAAAATGGGATATAAAAAATAATCACAATAAATATAAAGGCTCATATATGATGAGTTTAGTACCATTCACAATATTTGTATAATTAAGGAGCATTGGATAATTCAGCAAAGGATTTTAATTGAGAGACAGTGTTTTGATCTATAAAATTGCATAGAATTTTCTCACATAAAGATTTCAAATCTATTAACATATATTAATCAGCAGTCTGTAATAAGGATTTAACTTATTCTAAGCAGGATGAAAATTAATCATTTGGTACCTAGTTATAATTTAGATTATTTACTTCACCAGTATAAATATAAAATAATAATTATTCAAATATTAGAGCAGATGTATCTTGAATATATATTTTTTATTCTTAATTTTATTATTCAGATTCAAAAAGTTTAGAGAAATTTAAATATCTAGATAATACTGTAATATAATATTAATTTACATATTTTATGTGCATAAAATTGTTGACCATCAACTATAAATATAAGATCACTATATTTTGGTGAATTATAGAATTATTTAAAATAGTTATTTATTTAAATATTATTAAAATCTAGAATATGAATATTAGGTGGAGTGATAGTATCAATAATAAAAAAGTCTTTAAAATATTAAGAACCACAAGATCCACCAAAAATATAGATTAGATTACCCATAGCAGTCATACTATGACCAGCTCTAGCTTTATCAAAGTGTTCTTCATCTTACAATTCAACAACAGTCCATATATTTTTAATTGGATCATAACATTATAAGTCTCCAAAACAAGTTGTTTATGGTCCACTACCACCAAATAAATAGATATTATTTTCAATAGTTGTCATACACATACCTGCTCTTGCACTAGGTGAATATGCTGCATTTAATTCACTCCATTTATTAGTCAATGTATCATAAGCATAAAGATCATTTAATCTTTTTTTACCATCCCATCCACCAAAAATAAAGAGTTTATTTTCCCAAACAGTAGAACTATGATTAGCTCTTGGAGGAGGTTTATCCTTTTCAGAAGTTTGTATGAATTTCCAAATATTTGTTTTAGAATTGAAACTATGTAAATCATTTAGATAATCTTTTCCATCTCCACCTCTAAAGATATAGATTAATTAACCAATTAAATCAGCACTATGCATATTACATGGACCAGGAATCTACTTAAATTATTGTTATTACTTCACCTAATGTATTTACTAATGTCCATGTTAAAGTATCAAGATCTAAAACATATACATCTCCACTTGCATAAGTTCCACTTCCTAACCATCCACCAATCACAAACATTTTATTCTCAATCACAGTTGCTGAATGTCCATTTCTACTTTCAGGTATTTTACCATTAGTTTTACATTTTGTCCATTATCCATCTCTATAAATATGAATATCATTATGATTCTTTTTAGAATCATATCCACCAAAAATTATAATCTAATTTTTATAATGCACAGATGTATGATTTTTAATTGCAGGACATTATTAAGCATTTTTTCTGAATACTTTGGCTACAAGTTTTTCTTATTAACAATAATTAGGAGATTATCCATTTCCATCATAGTGATACATAATATTGTAAGATTATTTAAATATGATTATAAATTATTCAATCAGATTAATTAATTTGAATCTATTTGAATATATGTGATAAAATGTTATTCATATTGTTTTTATAAACAATTATAAAATTAATCAACTGTTTTATTTACTCTTATTTGATATTATACTGTCTTGATATTATTTATAAGAGAATAGAGCCTTAAAATAACAATAAGTATATACCTAATCTATATTATTTCTTGGATAATAATCACTATAACTATGATTATTATCTATGGATTAATTAAGATCATATAGAGGCATATCAAATGGATTATTCTAGAATTACTTAGCTGTCTCATTAGTAAATTTAGATGACTATATTCCATATTTCGAGAATTATCTATGATCTGAACTTTATAAGATTCCATTAACATGATCTTCACTTATAATTGATTTGGATTTTTAACTTCTTTTATCTTAAATAGTAGCATATTTAATTATCGATGGACTTAAATCTAAAATATTGATTATATTTAACCTCTTTCAATTTTAGTCACATGAGATTATCTTTTCTCTTAATATCTTTTTTAATGAACCATGAAACTATCTTTTGGTGATTTTAATTGTTATGCTTATTTTAATTCTTTTAAAACATAAGAACTAGCACTACTACCAACTTAAGGTACATATTAAACAGGACTCAAATTTTATACATATTATGACATTTTATGATGTTCCTCTTCATCAGAATGTTCAGTATGTTATTACTCAAATTACATTCCTAGACTAGTAATTGTTTTAGGGCGTTTAAAAGTTTCAGATGATAATAACATTAGATGTCTAACATTACATACAACTTATTCTATTAAACTGGTATTTTTCATACATTTGAACTTTCTTGAATGATTTCTCTATTGTAATATAAATATTTACTCTTTAATATTTTTATCTTTTGTTAATTTCATCAAAATAAATATAATCCATTAACATTTATCTTGGAGGAATATAATGAACTTTCTTGCAATTATCAATTTTATGATTCCCTTTACAAATTTAACAAGTTAATCCAATTAGTTTATATTCCTAATTGAATTATACTCTATCTAAACACATTTTAATTTTTTCAAGTTCTGTAATACTTTTTTTAATTTCTTTCCAAAATAATTCTGAATTAATTTCCAATATCTTACAACATGTTTCACATTAAACACTAATATCAGACTCTTATTATAAAAAGAATCCATTTTAATTATAAATTCCATTTTCATTAATACCTATTGGAAATTATTTGTTTTATTTTTATTAATAACATTTAACTTTTCCTGATAATATAAAATATAAATATTTATTTTCTTATTAAGCTTCAATTAAAACTTCATTTGGTTCCAAAATTCTTTCCTTTGTTGCATTCATTAATATATTTGCTATTGATGCTTTACTCAAACATTTATCTATTAATGGTATTTTCCTTAAAGTATTTGAATATTATGCATTCAATAATTTATTAGATAATGCATTTGGTAATTTATCATAATCAATTAAATTTCTTGTTTTCAATCTTGATTAAATTTATTTATTTGATATTGATAAACTTTCATATCTTAAATCAAATGGTAATTATTGAATAATTTATGAAAATTCAATTAATCCTGATATTAATGTACTTTAATTTCTATATAGATAATTAATCTAATCACTAATAATAGTAAATTAATAAACAATAAAAATAAGAACAATAATTTTAATTGGATAAATTAAAATTGATTAATTATTTGTTATTATAAGTATATTGATTATACTACACTAATTTTAATAGAATTCATTCAAACTTTAATGAATTTAATTGACTTATGTAATAACTAATAGAAATCCACAAATAGTTTAGAATAAATGAATTTATGATATTCTTAAAGTAAAGAAATAAATTGAATATTATCTAAAACATATAGAGAGTTAAAGTAATTGTTTAAACATTTGATAAAATCTTGTAAATGTAACTATATGTATGATTTACATGAATATAACTTGCTATCTAAAATAATTATAATTAATACTTAAAATCAATTAAAGTACAAATAAAGGGAATAAAAGCAGCTAATGGTAAATAATCGATAAATTTTGCAGTCTTTTAAATATTCAAACTAAACAATAAGAAGTTTAAAAATAATAATGGCAGTTAAGTTTGTAACTAATATGTTAGATTATAATCAGAATATGCTACACCATATAAGAGAAGTGGAAATTAATACATGTAATAGATATAAAGAATAATTTGTATAATAATTACTATTGGTTTGATATTTGTTTAGAATTCTTGTTTCTTCTTTTCTTTTACATAAGTATTATCACCCAAATATTATCCATACTTATTACATTAATCATCATCCTTATATGTACCTTAATGAGTAAATATTTAACTCCAATGTACTGGTTCTTTGATAATAAAATCATTGATTTATGGAGATAATTTCTTATTAATTAGAGTCTCAAATGCCTTATTATCTGACTGTTCATTCACACTTGATTCTTCATTAATGAGATTTAATGGTGTAGCTCTACCATCTATTGCTCCTGATGTACAAAGTGGTGATTTCTATACATTATGAGTACCTATTCTAATTTAATGGAAGTTCTAATACTATGTTGAGAGTCAATAGGAGTGAAAGAACTATTTAAATCACTTGGTCTTCGAACTTACATTACAGGCTAAGAATTCAAGGAGTTAATTTGTTGTAAGACTGGAACATTATTAGATGTGTCATTTACAGAGATTTCTGATTTTGAGCAATTTTTACGATAAGAACTCATTATTATTTAATTATATTACTCAAAGTTAATGGAATAAATCCATTTACTTATTACATTTAAAATTGAACTACATCTTCTTCATTTTCATCAAACATCATAGGAATTGGTTCAGTTTCATTCATTTTTTTAGATTTTACAAAATTATTTCGATGACTTAATTTCTTTTCTAAGAATTCCAATATCTTCATTTACTTATTTAATTGAGGATTATCATTATTACTAACTTATTATTATTATTCTATTGAATCAATCTTTACATCTAATAAATCTTCACTTCTCTTTACTATAGTATTATTTTGTTCTTTTGATAAAGATTGTTAAATTATTATTAAGAATATAGATATAATCAAATCTAATATTACACCTCCAGATAAACTAATATAGAAAACCTAATATATATATATATTC